CATCAGCGCATATAATATCCTCGATATCAAGCACATCTACACACTTATTAAATCCAGTCATTTGTGTGTATATCCTTGTCAACATAAAAAAAAGTTGAATTCAAATAATAACCAGTTGCATGCAATGGCTGATGTAGCTGCCTATCCCACTTCTCATCAATAATCTCCCAAATAGGCTTGTAGCAATTCTCAATTATTATCAAAATTTTGGGCTATCTCTCTTTTGCATTTCTCCATAGCCTCATATATATAGCCCATAGAAGGCTTATAGCTATCAACCATGCAAAGGACTTTGACAAGAGGAAAAAATACTTTAAGAGCGCCCTTCACCCCTCCCCAAAAAGATTTAGAAAGGATAATATCTCTCACCTTCTTCCCAACCTGATCCTTGGACCACTTGCATGCTCTCCAATCATCCGAGGTAAATATCTGCCTCAACTACACTCTCCTCGAATATATGTTGTCTACGCATAAGAACCAGGTCGCAAATCTCGTGTCCTCAGGCCTCACAATCTCTTTCTTCTTTGTAAATCTACACATCATGCTGAGGGTGAGATGGTAGCCATAAATGACATTTGTAACTGACTTTGCCTTCTTCACTGCACCTGATATCTCGGTTAAACCGCCAAGAGCCTCAAGCATAAAGTCTATACAATGTGCTACACATGGTGTCCAAAAGAATCTAGGATAAGCTATGCGCAATAAATTAGCTGCAGCAACATTCGCAGCAACATTTTCTGTGACAACCTATACAACATGATGCTCCCCAACCTCCTTGATTCCCTTCTCTAAAACTTGGAATATGTAATGGGCATGCGGCATCATGGATATGATTAGAGGCATTAATAGACCTCAAAAAAACAATCCCTAAATGATAATTCACAAGCAAATTCATCTGACTTCTTTTCTTCCTATCACTTCAAGCATCAGTCATACTAGAAACCTCATACTGAGCCCATGCATCCTTCTTAACTTCTACAGCTTCCTTCGTGACACTCACCGCCTTTTTCAAAGGAGGCTCTAAAAGCTCATATGGGTTGGGGGTTTCATCCCAGACCCAATTTGGCCAATTGCCTCTACCGCGGCATAGAAACTGCTTAAGCAAGCGACATTGAAAGAAATGACCGCCTCATAAAACAATGTAACATGATAATAAGCAGTTCTATATCTCTCTATTCCTTCTTCATTCTATTTTCAATGGTGGTTTGCTTCTTTGTTTTCTCTACTGCAACTTCAAGGTCAGGCCGAGACAAAAAACTATCCATAGGGCCTCTAACCCGAGGCTTCTTACTCCCAAAATCAGAACCAGAAGCAATTACAACTCCCTTTCCCTTTCCCCTAATAATGGATTGCTCTACTTCTACCTCTTGATATCCCTCCCCAATCCCATCCTCATCACTATCATCATCATCATAATTAACCCGAACCCCAGACCTAATCTTTGCTATGGAGCCAAATCTCACATCTTTTTTCATTTTTACCACATTCAAAAAATTGGCTATTTCCCCTTCAACAGCATCAGAAGTTTTTTTACATGGGGCAACATCCCCCCTGATACCGGCAAGATTTTCTTGAACCGGGTTATGCCCCCTTTTGTATCCTTCTCACAAACATTAGGATCTGAGTTGTAGCCATATTTCCAACCGGGATCACCACTCCTATTAGATCCCGAAGAAGACATCTTAAAATAATGCAATTTATACAAGTAATAAAAATAATCACTTACTTTGAATTTGATTGCTCAATCTCTTCCACCTGAGAGATGCTTCTAAGGACTCACAATCTTCTAAAACCCCCCTAATAGATTTATAAAACATCCAAAATTAAATCTAATATCAATGGGTGATGTTTTGATCAATTTCTCATAACTTTAAGAAACCCTTCGATCCTAAAAAATCACCAAAAAACTAGTTTTTTGGGGGCTTTCTCTCTCTAAAATGGGCTCCAATAAGTTTTAGGTTTCAAATGGACCTAAAACCCCCATTTTTGACCCTTTAGTATTAAAAAAAAGGACTAAAAATGCCCCTCACGAAACCGTTTTTTGCCTCTAGGTGGGACGCAGTCCCTAGGTGGCCGCTCAGCGGTTTCCTGGGCGCCCAAGGACCACTGCTTTTTTAGGGTGCCTAGGCCTGGGCGATGCGCCCAAGCCCCCAGATCCGCCTAGGCGGCCGCCCAAGAGCTGGGCGGTCCGCTTTTTGGAACATTGTTTATAAGGCTAGTTTTGTGATTAGAATCACACAAAGAAGGACAAGGGTGCCAACGTCATGGCACGAAGAGTAGTGTATTTGCACCTTGGGATTTAAGAGGACAGCTTGAGACACAAAGTTCTATGTTATATTGATGGGTGAGGACATTCTAAACCATGATCTCAATCTGTATCATATAAGACCTTAGAGTCCAACTAATCAGCATTTCAATTTCTCAAACAGAGCAGTCTGAGGTTGTTATGCGTTATGTGCAATCATTTTTCTTTGCCTTTTTTTATATCTTGTGCAATTACATATATCAAGGAACAGGCAATCATTTTAACCATATTACCAAAATTAGTTAGAAGTGCAAATCAACCTTGTAGACGAGCCCAGCGCTACTGAGTTTGGTGGTAAACCCATGGCCAAGAACTTCATTGAAACCTTTCTGATGATGATCGTAACGATCTCGGCTGGGATCATACACACCCCCAACATCAAGAACAACATCCAGTGCATCCAACACCTATCAAATATGAAGAAATATTACAGACACTCTTTGAAGAAAAAAAGATTGAAGAGTTGGAAGACCCACCAAACAAACAACTTTCAACGGATTATCATGGGAGATTAAAAACAACAACAACAGTACCACATTGAATTTCGTGAACATATTGTAGCAAAGAAAAGTGTTCTTAAAAGAGTGTTTTTTCCATCTTTTTCTAGTATATTAACTCAACCCATCCATTTCTACAAACCAAAATATGGTTAAAGAAAGGATAGACATAAGGTGACAATGAGCCAAATACCCATGAGGCATATGACCGGAGGCAATGAATCCTAAGTAAGGCTGCTTAGAGACAATAGTGAACAAGCAAGAAAGCTATCAATAAGTCTATATAGGTGTTTGAGTTCACACAGAGCAAAGTCGTTCAATCAAGCATCAATATCAAGGTGTACTGTATACAATTCAAGCTCTAAACCTTAGATGAGGACTGGCGCAAAAATGCCTTTCAATGTTTGCAAAAAGAATACCCTAAGAACATTCTAAGTGACTCAAAGGATTTAATTCAACAGAGATGAGTAACAAACAATTCATAGAGGGTATTAAGAAAGGAAATACATATTGAAAACCTGCAAATTTCACACATTTTATGCTCTAAAAAAACCTAGTTACACTATTACTCAGATATGGGTAATTTTTCAAAACGCCCATCATCTGTTTCAAACAATGTTTGAAAAAACAGTGTTTTAAAAGGCGGCCGCATCAGCCGTTATGCTGCCCAACGCATCACAGATGGCCCCATATGCAGTTTGGAGAGATGTGTACGATATGCGATGCATCCCGCATAGGGTGCATCATTCCGCATATGCAGTCCACCATGTTTTTCGAAAATGAACCCCTCATGTAGGGGTATTAAGGTCTTTTTGACCCCTGTAAATGGGGGGAAAGGGTTTGGGGGTATTAAACCCCCCAAACATCATTTTTCAGCCACATCTGTGGCTTTTCTTGGATCGATTGAATCAAAAAAAAAAAATTTGACAGAAATTTTTTTTTGTGAAGTTCTTCGATTTGTGCATTGGTTGTTGATTTGTATCTTTTGGGTGTTCTTTGAGGAAGTTTAGACGAACTTGTGACAACAAATCGAGGGTTTCAAGGATCGTGAAGAAATCGATACTTGCTTCAAGATAACTTCTCTAATTAGGATTTGCAAAATTGAAAGTTAGAATCTCACTCTCAAGACTTGAGAAATGATTATGATTGTATAATTTGTATTAACTCTTCCTGAGGTTGACTTTTAAAGTCTTTAATCTTCATAGACTTTTACTTTGTAGTAGTTTGTGATTGCAGATTTACGCTTATGGTTGCTGGTTGTTGAATGTTTTATGAAGCTAGTTTCTATCAGACAGTGGATACAGAATCTCCGTCTCCGACAACTGACACTTTTGGAGTTAATGAATAAACTAAATACCTACTATCACATATATCACCTCCATATTTTTTCCTATGCATTAACCTATTTTTTTAGATTTTTGAGAATTTTTTATATTTATTGACCGCATCGCAGCGATGCACCCACATCCAGACCGCATTGCCACATCGGCACCCCCAACGCATATGGCCGCATCAAGCATCAATATCAAGGTATACTACATAGAATGCAAGCTCTAAAACTTATATGAGGACTGGCACAAAAATGCCTTTCAATGTTTGCAAAAAGAATAGCCTAAGAACATTCTAAGTGACTCAAAGGATTTAATTCATCAGAGATGAGGGTACAATAAGAAAGGAAATACATATTAAAAACCTGTAAATTTCACACATTTTATGCTCTAAAAAAACCCAATTACACTATTACTCAAATATGGGCAATTTTTTAAAACGCCCATCATCTGTTTCAAACAATGTTTGAAAAACTCAGACCAGTCCACTCGGACTCAACCCCTTGCTGAGCTGAGCACTCGGGTAAAATAAGAAATCGTAAAAATTATATTTTATTTTTTGTAGAATTAATGGATAAATATTTTATGCCATTTTGATGTTTTTCATGATGATTTGTGAGTTTTTCTTAACATACACCCTAATCTTATGTTTTCCCTTTTCAGGATTTTTCTTAAATGTTCCCAGCTACAACTCATTTTGGACTTTCAATGTTGTGTATAGCATGCTTTCCTTTTTGCTATTTTTCTTTATTTTTAACAAAGTCGGACGGGCCGACTCAGACTCGCAGAGTAACTCAGCTTGGGCAGGAGTTGCAGGACCGAGCCCTGAGACTAAGCCTAGTTTTTAATCCGTGCTTTTAAATTGTAGCTAATTTTTATTTGATCAGCTAAAAGCCGCAGGAAGAAAACAATAAAACTCTTAAGAACTCAACAAAAATATCAGATATGGAAAAATAAACTCCATACAGTAACTAATCTAGAAAAAGCACATAAAAAACACAAAACATTGCAAGATACTAATTCCTAACCTCATTACTCCAAAAGATAAAAACTAATACTCCTCAATTTCATATAAAAAGGACATTCCATAGACAAAAATAAATAATAGAAAAACAGAACAGGCAACTCTTCCATTACTCGCATTTCAAGATACGTGATTAAAAATAGTAATAAATATTTCAAAAAATCAAGAGAAAAAAAGGCTCATGTTTTACAGAGAAGCAAGTACCTGATGATCTCTGGACCTAACAACTTCAGCATCTGCAAATTTATCTGTGAGGCGAATCATGAAGCAGCCAAGGGCTTCATCACAGTGAAAACTTCCATTATGGGTGCCTACCCGTTTCTTAGAAAAACCAGAAGCCACAGAATATGGCAGTTTGTTAAGAGAAGCAGCCATGGGAGCAAAGGACGCTGGTTTCACTAATAGCTTGCTCCAGGTCCTCAGTGCAATCATGGTTTAACCGAACCAGAGCCTTAAACCCTAATTTATAGGGCCAATGACCAAGCCATCCCTAATCTTTGCAAAATGACGATTCTACCCTCCATTCATGATGTGTACCACTGACGAAACGTAGCGTCCTGGAACTCCAAATGGAAGCTTTGCTCTGGTACTATCATGGAGGTTTAGGGTTTTACTGGGCATGGCATCTCAAGTGAAAGAGAAAAGTTGAGGTCGTATGAAACACTATGATGGTTCCATTTTTTCAGTATAATTAGACAGGAAATCAGCGGGAAATCGGAAATGGAGGAATTTAGGTGTTGTTTATTGGAAGTACACTATACACAAGTGGCGTATCGTACTTGGTACAACCGAGGGTTCACCCGCTGCCTCTTCAATCATATCGGGATTGTTTACAATTTATACCCATAAGACCATTTGCCTTTCAAATAAGGTACGTCATAAAATTAAGAGCCCTACATCTAGGGATGAAAATGGACCGGACCGACTCAGACCCGTCGGGTATATCCAACATGGATCCAAGTATGAGTCCAGTATTTGGAGCCGGCGGGTAGGGTATGCCTCCAAAACCTAGACCCAAATACTATTTAGGTTTGGATCCGGGTCCTGGTCCGATTGGACCCGACCCGTACCTGTAAATTGTTGGTGATAAAATACTTTGAGCCCTATTCATTTGTATGTGTTAAGGATCGTGTACAATAAGACTCGTAGTCATCTTTAGCTACTAAATGACAAATTAGACAGCTTGTTAGCTATTCAATGACAAATTGGACGGCTAGAAATCAAATTGCGAGTGATTGTGACCTTGTTGCGACTAATACGGGTATATGATAGTATTAAAAAAAAAAAAAAAAGAACTATGGTGGCAATGGACCCGAGACCTGATGGGTATGGGTATAGATCCAATTTTTGGACCCGACGGGTTGGGTACGAATCCAAAACTTGGACCCAAATACTTTTGAGTTTGGATTTGGGTCCACCTGGACCCGACCATTGCCACTCCTACCTACATCTCTGCATATCCTCGAGAGCCGGTTGTATTATCTATTTTTTAATATATATTTTTTGAAAAAATTTCAAAAACCCCCCCAAAATATACTATTAACTGAACTTACCCCCATCCAAACTTTTTCTCACACTTTTTTTCTGTCAATAAGCTTTCTTTGTAAAAACCCCCTAAAGTAAAAGTTTTAATTTTTTGGACAAAATGCCCTTACCGTACAATAAAAATTCAATTGGCGGTCCCAAGTTACCTATTACCGGAGCGAAGAACAATACCGTCGGACTGCCTAGAACTGACTATTGGATCACAATATCCACTGCTGGAGCGCAAACATTTCTCCAGAAGGTGTAGTGCCGGAGCGCAATCTAAAATGGTGTCGGGGCACAATCAAATAATGTTGGAGCGCGCTGCCAAACCGCTGAAGAGATATGCTCCAAAAGTGTCTTGCCGTAGCGAAGTACTAAACTGCCGGATCGAATTGCTCACTGCCGGAGAGCATGACCTAACTACTGGAGCGCTCTTGCCGAGAAGCTTGTTTGCCATAGCCTATTTCTATAGTGCCGGATTGCGTTGTTTTAATGCCGAAGCGATATAAACTGACTGCCGGAGCACTGTGACTCCAGTTGCTTGACTGCTGGAGCGTGCTTCTCTATTGCCGGAGTGCATCGTCAATAACACCGAAGCGTGCAAACTAACTGCTAGAGCGTTGTGGCTCTAGAAGTTGTACTGCCGGAGTGTAAAATATGTAGTGCTGGAGCGTGCATGTGGACCATCGGAGTGCTGCGGCTCCAAAAACTGTACTGCCGGAGCGTAAAATATGTAGTGTCGGAGCGTGCATGTGGACTGCCAGAGCGTGCATGTGGACTGCTGGAGTGCTCTGTGGCTCCAGAAGATTGATTGGCAGAGAGATGTGTTGTACTGCCGGAGCGAGGTGTTGTATTGCCGGAGCGAAGTGTTGTAATGCCGGAGCGACTTCTGAGTGCTTTCACTACCTATTATTTTTATTTTTATTTTATTGGCTTTTTGCTTTTTGTGGTGTTGTATGTTAGAACTGAGTTAGGTGTTCTCTTTAGTGGTGTTATATGTTAGCATTTGGTGGTGGCTTTACATTATATGTAGTGGTGTTATATAGTCTTTGGTGGTTTTTATATGTTAGCCCTGAAGTAGTTACACTTTTCTTTGATGGCTTCATAGTTTATCACCAAAGCAGCAATTAACATTACATGAAAGCAATTGTATTTGATAACCAAGTTACATTGTCATAAAAATATATAATATCCAACTTGATGACTTTCTCGTAATTGAAGAGGCAGATAAAGAGAGATCTCTCATTTATGTAACATACCATTCATTAAACGTCTGTTTCGAACATTCATATAAAATCCAAAAATACATATCAAACTCAACATCAAAATATAACCAACCATATCATTTACCTAACATCTATTTCAAACATACCAATCAAATCCAAAAATACATATGAATGTCGATTAATATCAACCATATTTTTTACTTAACATTTGTTTCAAATATACATATCCAAGACAAAATAAAAAAATCAATTTTCTCCACTGCAAATTCCATCTCGATTCCTCTTGCAATGCCGGTGCTTGAAAGTGATCATCTTTTTTATTTGTTCTTTTCTCTTCGTCATGCTCACTATCACCATCATCTCCTCCATCATGATCATCCTCTGCTCCATCTTCTCCTTCGTCATCAATATCTTCTCCGCCATCATCCTCTCCTCCATCATCATCATCTTCTCTGTCATCATCATCTTCTCCATCATCATCATCTTCTCCGTCATCATCCTCGATATTTCTCTCCACATAAGTATTATTCGGTAGCAGATCATGAACCACCTATACAAAACCTATGGATTCCACGGTTAATACTTCACCATTAAGTGCAGCTTGTAGCAACTCTATACATGTATGTCGATGCAAGTAGATAGCGAAAACAAACAAAATTGACTATTAGATATATATTTCATAATTTTAAGATATATTAAAATGATAAAATAAAAAATACATATAATAAATATTATACCAATCTATTATCTTGGGATTGGCCTACGGAAGGCTGTACATGCAATTAGTTTGGAAATGTTGTACATGGGATTGCGACTGCAATGGGGGGTGAAATGGTGTTTTTCCTTGCGTAAAGATGTTGTATCAGGGCATGTACTCTTCTATAGGTACTCCACCAGATTTATCTAATGGTGCATTAACAATGTTACGTTCTCGTTGTATCCAATCTTTTATCTACCTACCCAATTCTACAGTCCAATTTATGGAGTGTACACCGACCTTCTCCCTCCTATCCCACTTGGGTGGCATAACAGAAACACCTTGCATCTTCCCAAATTGTCGCAATACACGATCGGGCATTTAATACTCTGCAATGTTGAAACTATTGAGGTATGATCGACACATGAAGTACTCTGCAATTTCCTGCGACTCTTCATACGGTTGCCAGGTCACCTACAAAAATAAGCATGAGATATTAACAACAAGGAAAGACATTCTTAATACATTATCTATATTAAACGAGATATTATCTACTACATTATAAGCACACAAGACAATCACTAACCATATTGAACGAGATATTATAAAATGAGATGTTTTTGTGGCGTGCTTGTTTTTTCCACATGCAAACCTTAGGCATCTCTGGGTTGATGACCGGTGCAACCATGGTAACTAGAACTCGAAAATGCTCATAGATCCAACATTGTTAAAAAAAAAAAAAAAAGTTGGTAGCCACAAAAGTTGTAAGATTGTAAATATATATAACAGAAATAGTGAAAAATACCTATAGTAAGGTCGTTGACCCTCTAAAATGATTATTTTTCCCACCTGCGACCTTGGAAAATGAACGATATAAGAAAGTAAGAGCCACATCACCTCATGCACACTTCACTGCCTCATCAAAATATCGAAACAATTACAGATATATTGAAAGTGTCGATTCTTTAGATGACTCGGCAAATATAGTTTTTCCAACTAAATAGAGGAGATATGCTTGTGTATGTTGCGTGAGTTATAATTTGGTGGGTTTTTTTGGTAGTTGGCCAAATCTACTCCTCAACCATGTATGATTTAGATGCATAGGGGTGACATCTTTTAGGTAATCTCTCAGATACTCCTTGACAAAAGGCATAGTTTTCAGATCTGATGCCGATTACAAGCTCACCCTTCACAGCTATCCTTAATATCTGCCATACATCATATAACGACTCATTTCACCGATGCTTAAATGTGTAATGTTCGTGTCCTTGCACTATTTCCCTATAAATGCCCTCACTAGGTTGCAATCGATACGTGAGACCCCAATATCCAACCCAATCTTATGAATTAGAGGTATCTGTCATTGATCAAGCTTCCATTTTGCTAAGGCTTGAGTTGATTCATCAATACGAAGTATATTTCTCTCCTAAAATGAAATTAACAAGAAATTGCAATAGTCAGTCACATGAGAAATACCTAATTAATATAAATCATTAATTAAAACAAATAGACCATCTTATCTCATGCCTTTGACCTGATGAAGTGGATGACTCCCATGTGCCTCTTAGTTGTTTCGGGTCTTGCATTGCTAATTATATTTTCATAATTGGCAAAAAAAGTTAACCACAAGTAGCATATCCAATAAGAAAAGAGGTAGAACAGTGGCATATCCAATCTAATTAAAAAAAAGATAGAACAGTTGTATATCCAATAAAAAAAAGAGAGAAAAGTGGCATAACCAATATATGTACTGACAAAAATATATGTACTGACAGAACAAATAAGATAACTAGAAAAAAAAGAAGAGAAAAATGACATATCCAATATATGTACTGACAAAATTTCACACAAGTGGGTGCTACAATTTAAAAAGACTGAACAAAGAAGATAACTAAAGCAAAGATTACTTATTTCTTTACAATTTCCCACATGCCTTCAAGTGGGTAATTTACATGTTGCCTTGTTGTGGCCAGTTTCTTTGCACATACTACAGTGAATAAGTCGCACTGGTACTTCTTGTAACTCGATGCGCTTTTTTTTTAGGTCGACCAGGAGACCGTCTTGAGTGAGGTGGAAATACTCTTATTCCATCTAGAGGAAGTTGTCCACGCATATGCCCAGATATATCGATTAAGGTAACTGGCACGATAGGTTCGGAATATGTTTCACGAAACTTTGCAATCGTAAAATAGTCTTCACAATAGTCACGGGATCCCTATTCATCCATTGAAGGGCTTTACAAGCATGT